CATTTTGAAAAAAGACACTTACTTTGGTTTAAGAAGTAGAAAAATAATCCCCTTGAAAGGATCAAAATCAAAAATGAAGCTAAATGATTTTGTTTCTCGTTAACCGAATCGACCAATTTCACGTTTCTCGGGCTGTATAATAAATTCGCGAAGATTCGAGGATCGGAGAGTCGATTGGTAGCTGCGGTCGATGATGGAAACTATAGCAACCTCTCGAAGTCAAGAAACGACTGGTTCCAAAGATAAAAGTAAAAGGAGACGAACGAGGTGAATCCGACGGGACGAAGTTTGGGCTGGCTGGTTTTTATTACGAATGCCAATCGATAACGCGGCGGACTATCTCCGAGTTTAATGAGTGGAAGCAGCTGTCCAGGTAGCATTAGTCACCGAGATGTAATTTGTTGCCCACGCCCTGTTCCGCGTGCACGTGCGAAAACCAGAGAACGTGGCTGATCGCTCGCGTGCATTAACCCTCATCCATTATTTTTCCAACCTAATTTGTCACTTGGCGAGAAATTTATATAAAGGATACATAAAAGACAAATTCTTTCATAATTAAATAACACACTCGTGTCAGATTCGTACTAGTCTCACTCTCCTGTATCTGTTTAATTTTCATTCAATAGTTTAATCTCCATGTTGATCTGGTTTTTCTCTAGCTTCGTCCCCGTTTCGTATAAACACGTATATAAATTTTATACTAATTACACGGGAATGTACGTGTTTGTCGACTTGGAAACAAATTACAAAGTATATATGGTTATTGTTGCAAAAATAATATAATTTGTTGTCAAATCTACGCGAGAAACGAACGATAGTTAAGCGCCGTTAGTAATAAACGGTCATTCTTTCTCGATTATATTTCTACATTACAGTTAGTAATTGGTGGCTGTCAGCGGAAGCTTGGAATAATTACAGATAATTAATCCCGGGCGCCGATCAACGACAGATATGGATGCGTCTGTCGATTCAGATCGACGCACACATCTGAGGAGGAGATCTCCGAGGAACATTCGAAATTAATTCCAGTTTGTAATCGAGGCGGCAGCGCCCGGTTCCCGTGAAACGGGCACGCGGATCGCGGGAACCGCAACATTTCGCGCTGCATCGATGAAGTTAACAAACTCGACGTGTGCATCGCTGATTCGTGCGCCGTTCGTTCGACGCACAGTTGCACGTTAATTGTCCGAAAGATATATATAAATCGAGCACCGTGAACCGACACGATAGGTGATAAAGGGATAACGCCGAACCATTGGAACCTCTCTCTCTCTATCTCTCTACCTCTCTCTCTCATTCCAACTCTCGCGCCACTTAATTATCGCGTGTACGATGTGCACATAGGCATATGATTTTCCGGTTCGACTGAGGCCAAGCAGCGTTACCGTTTTTCAACGGCATTAAACACGGTCGAATGAATCCGATAAATTGTTACGGCAGAGATATATGTACATACATACGGGTGGAAAAAGGCGAAACGAGAGCGCAGGCTACGTGCACTGGTAAATAGCCATTAACCTCTTGCCAGATTAATTCTTCGCTGGACAGTTATCGTATCAAAAAGAGCTTTCATTCCTACTTTATAATGTATTCGTATACGGCGATTAGTTTGGTGAAATTTGTTGCTAGCCCCTCTATGCACGTTTAATCTAATCGAAGAAACTCGACGCAAATCCCAGCGATTTGCATCAAGCGCACGGGTTGAAATTCACAGTCGCGGTTATAGCTGTGACACGTTGATTTTATTAATAACAAATCGGAATGAAACGAAAATCGGTGAAACGGTGGGCGGGATACGTGTAATTGGAATAGATCCAGCTAATTATTATTACGCAATGCAGCGCGTAGATATAATCAGGTTACATAGCAAATAACATTGATTTTCAATGATCACTATTATTGGACAAGTGGTCGGACAGCGTGGCAACCGCAGAGGCGATTTTCCTTTCGTCCCCGATACTCGGGATTTATCGAGTGATTGATTCCAATCAGTTATCCAACTGTTTATCGAATAATCAATGCCGTCGTCTGTTCGCAGATGAGGTGCATGGAAATTACATTTCGCGGGACGCGCGGTCCAATCCCGGCGGTGCGACTGGGCTTCCTCCTCGTCATCGAAAATTTATACCCGATGCCGGGCGTTTCGATCTAGCATCGATAACTTTAAACACAATTGCGACGGGAGCGCGGTGATAATTATTGAGAAACATCGGGGCTCGAGCTCGGGGGCAAAATGAAAATTACGCGTATTCTCCGCGATCAATTTGAAAATTTTCAACAAAATTCTGTTTCGCGAAAGAAAATTTTACGATCTCGATAAACGACTTAATAACTTGGGTAAATACAAACATTTGGGATAATGAGAGAATTATGGTCGGTTCAAAGAGTTTTCTTACAGCACATTGAAATTTATTTAGCGTTGCATCATTTCAACACTGAGAATCATTGATAAATAAATGTAAATTGTCTTTGTACCAATGAAATTATTCACCTGCCATTTTTTTGTACATTTAAAGATGAAACTTACAAACTCAGAACGGACGGAAAAATTTATTTCGCTTGAAAAAAGAAAAGAATGCTCCAAATTTCCAAACCAGTGTATATTCCAAAAGGAACAAGGTTTCGTCAATAACATAAGAAAAAAGTTGCACAAATTGAACGTTATAATGTACAAGCTAAGAAAATCTCTAATCTCTAACCCAATTATTAAATTATAAGAAACGCAAAAAATCGCCAGATGTGGAAAAACACTGGCAACACACTCGACGAGATTAAGGACAATTATGGAACAAAGAACGACACGATGCCTATGTATAAGCGAACAAACAATATTATAAGCCAATTTGCCGGAATCGTGCCGTTTGTTTGCTACGCGAGCATGGTTTTGAATGAATTTCATCGAAATGGCGCAATAGGCTGTGCAATATCAATTTGACCCCGCCAACGATCCATCGGTTTCGTGGAATTGTAAACAGAAACGTTGACCGAGTGTGAATTCGCTACGACGACGAGTTGGCTAACTTTCTCATCGTCACTCAGCTCTTCTCGTAGATTATTTCAAGAACCTGGATTTTTCGACCACGTTCCATCTCCATCAAGAAGTTTAAATGAGAAACGACGCAAATGCCCCGAGTGGAATTCTCGGTACGAATGAAAAATATTGGTCAGAAGCGATCTTTAGATTCTAGAACGATTCGTTCAAATATTTACAGCGTTAAAGTTCGCGTTTCGCTGTAAAATTACTTTTCATTAAAATAAATTAAAGTGACGGGAAAAAATGGCAGGAGATAATTTACAGTTTCAAAAAAATGGAAGCACACATGTATGTACAGCAAGAATAGATGATTAAGTGTCTCATCAAGTTAGAAAAATTTCTTATAGCTTACTTGTAAAGTTCGTTACAAGAAACACACAGAAAGGTAAATCTTTCTTCTTTGCAAATTCAGTTAACAAAACGAATGCCAATTATTCAGGGAAATATATAGTTCGTACTAATATGAAAGACAATCTGATAAAATATATCGTCAATTTCCTTTGAAATGTATGTAACTGTCAAATACAAAAGCAATTCTTAAATCTTTATAAATTTGAAGTCAATATTTTAACTGTTCTCGATATGTCGATTGACTGTCACCGATAATTACCAATTGACACGAAGAAACGGCACGAAAGACGTCTCTATTAAAGGAATGTTCTGATAATATGTAAACAGATGGAAAAAGATATTAATCACTGCGTGAGAAATAGTTAATTAGAAAAAAATTCAACGTCACCAGAATGCGGATTTTTATCCAAATTCATATTTTTGAAAATACGATGAAAAACGTAGAACCTCGGTAGAAAAATTGTTTTACGCGTCAAATGTTACAGAGAGCACGGTCGTTTGAATATTTTATAAATCACTTTCGTATCGCGTGAATTAAAATTTCCCATAAATACGTAAACAAAAGCCGCAGACCCTCACTTTTAAAAAACAGTTTCGCACTGTGGAAGGGCGAAAAGAAGATTTTGGCGTGATTTTTGCCTGTTCGTGCACAATATCAGCATCTGGGGCAAGTATAACGCAAAACCAGAAGAACCTTTCCCTGAGAACTTGATGGACCGCCACCGCATTACTCCGATACCCGATATCGGGCGTCTTCCTTTTAATGGGTATACCGATACGCGGCCTGCTACCTTCGACACACTTTTATGGCAATCAATCGAAGCCGTAAAATCTTCTCGAGTCAACACACGGCCCATACAGATCTGGTTTCTCGTCTTGACCACCACCGTTATAACGCCTCGAGGAATGTTACGACCTAACCGGACTTGAATTATGTCTATCCCGTTTACGCTCGAAACGTGTTGATTTGTACGTCTGTATCGTCAACGACTCGTAAATCACGCGGAAGATTCTCACGTGCGAAAGATGAACAAGTCTTCGGTGAAACACCATCGTTATCGCGATTTATTTCACGAAAACATCCAATTTATTTTTCCAGCTGTTCCTTCTATTTTCTAACTTACATCCTTCTGTTTCTCATTTGTTAACTTTTGCCCGAATAAAAGTGTAGATTGCAGAAACGATTTGTTTCTCGAAAAATGACACTAGTGAATATAATATTATAATTTCTTTTTTTTTTTTTTTTTTTGAACTAACTCTATGAAATAATTTGTTCTTCTCGATTTCAAATTTCTTAAAATATCAAACCTTGAACTAAAATAAAAACTTGAATTTCAAACATCACCATTGTTTGAAGACGAGAAGATAATGCTAGGACTTATCTCTCGATTTTAAATATCGTTAGTTTAAATATTTTAACCAAACAACGACTGAAATTCTAAAGATCAAAATTTTGTTCTCTGCGCGATTCGAAGAAAAAAAGATTCTTTCCTACAATAGGAACGTACAATGCTCGATACGTAGTCGTATCCAATGATCAAAAACAATCACGATGCGAAACAAAAGTACAACTGATGGTGACTGACAAATTCGTGCAAGCAAAAATGGGACTTACCTTAAGCTGATGTTGCGGTCGTCTGAGCGCACCCTGGTCTCGTCGTCCACCAAGTCGATCGGCCTCCGCTTCCAATCCCTCCATCGAGGACTCAGCTTCGCTCAACCAAGCCAAGAACTTGTCCAGGGACCGGTCGAAGTTGTGGAGGGAGTTCATCGCGGAATGAAGCAGTTTCCCTCGATTGATGATACTAAGAAGGATTTAATAGATATAGGCATCCGTGGCAGACGTCTGTTCGAAACGATCGAATCTACTTCGACGTCAAACGCAATGGCAAAGTCATGAAAGAACGCTGCTCCGTTCTACCATAGAAATTCCATTGCAAACTTCAAGTTTGAAATTACAAGTTCTCATCACGAGTTCAAGATCATTCTCAATTATCATTCGAGAATTTATTGAATTATTACGCTCGCGACAGTGAAATTAAAAGTTTCATCCCAATTTTCCCTTTATTTTAAAATAATTAAAATTAAAGAGCTTGTTCCTTTGGAACTATCACTTTGCCCACTTAAAAATCCGAAATCCGAGAATTGTTCGCGATGCAAGAACAACGAAAAGAATGAAATCACGTTATATTTACCTGGTGTTGAGGTTGTTGTATCTCTGATTGATGGTCTCCGTCATCTTTTTCACGCGAGTAGTGTCGTCCTCCTGATACACGGCGATCAACTTCTGCGTGAGCTGATTGAACTGCTCGATCTGATGCTTGTACTGGTGGAGCTCCGCGTGGAACGACTGCAAACACAAACAATGCCGATACAAAATGAGCGAGGAAGGTCAGCGCGATAGCGTGGTGAAATCTCGCGAGAGTAGCTGCCGTGTTTGAGTTGAAAGTCGCGTCTCTTGATAATTCGCGCGAGTTAAATCTTTCTGGAGAAGAGAGACGCCGGCTTTCAACTTTTATGCCGGTATCCTCCGTCTCGGGAGAGGCGAGCTTCTATTTGATCGGCCAGCTACCGATTCGCGCCGATGAAACTTACGATAATCCAGATTAAGCTGCCGAACCGGAAAACGTGTTTCTGCTCGTCGAAAGAAACGTTTCCCTTGTAAGGAGATCGTGACCATCGGGTGAAATTAAAAACAATTTATAGAGGCGGGACAGGGAAATGTAATTGAATGGTAAATCTGGATCAATCGCGATAATTCCATGAGAGAGACTAACCTTTTCGGACGAACCAGATTTCCATTAAACAAGACTGAGATATAAGCTTGGGAATTATCTCGCAGAACCCGTAAAAATTTTTACGATACGCGAATCTTTTACGATTTTACGATTATCTAAGCGTACAGTGGCTGACGAAAGTGTTCATACGCTCCCCGACTCATATCGCGTGTGTCGTATCTCACATTTAAAAATTTCGTCGGCACTGTAACGACACTCGACTATCGTGAGTATGTTGATGAAATATTAAATTTCATTCTGGAAAATGTACAAAAGTTATAAATATTAATAAATACTGATTTAAGGAAATTATGAAATATAGTAGTGTGTAAACATATTACACAGAGAAATATAAAAGCCTTTAAATAGTTATCTATTGTACATTTAAAATAACGATTCGTTATTTTAAATGTACAATTAACTATCTATTGTACATTTAAAATAACGATTCGTTCTGTATGGATTTTACTAAATGCTAGTTTGCAATTTAGTATCACGTAACTCACGTTTTCAGATCGGGTTCAAATTTTGCCAATATTCGTAAGCTGATAGTCGCGTATCGTTGTAACGCGTATTAAATTTCGAAATGTTTCATACGACGTACACGTATGTAAATAAAAAATCCTTCGTACCAAGTGTACGAATATTTTTACGAGCCACTGTATTTACCGAGTCTCGTTAAACACTCATGCTATTCGAACCGGAGAAAAGGAGATTACCTATTCGTAATACGACATAAAAGGACGAACATCGCAGAATACTACGAGTATTATCTGATACTCACAAGTACCGTCTTGTTAAACACACACATACACACGATTCTCAAACATCAAAAGGAGAAAGTATCAAAGCACGAGATAAAGACGGAACGAATGTTGCAGAATATTACGAACATTATCTCCGATGTAATGGCTTCTCTACGATTCACGACGAACACTCACTCCTTTTCGTGCGTCGGCAGAGGAAACTTTCAAAATGGCAGATATAGAAGAACGAATGTTACAGAATATTACAGAATATAACAGCTCCTATGCGGTTCGTGCGTCGTTCTCGAATGAACGTAGCACGTTCGCAATACATACGTTCGAAGTACGTACTGCGCCACAAGTCAACACGCGATAAGAGAGCAACAATCGAGAGTGAGGGAAACAGGAGGGGTGAAGACCGACGTGAGAATCGAGGTAAATCCCGGACGAAGGACGAGTCCCGAAAACACGGGCGTTCCTCGCGTTGGAAATAAATTATTCCATGAATATCTCATTCGGCTCTTTTGAATGTAAACAGAGTTCTGGAGGTCGGCGTGACGTACGATCTCGCGTTGATTGGGAGTTTGGCCGTTCTTTCGGCCCATCGCCGCACCACGGCCATTTTTCCCTCGGCGAGTTGCGTTATTCTGGTACACAAAGCGCGGGGAACGTTGCTAAAAAAGAGGTTAGTAGCTAGCCGGGATGAATACCGATCCGTTCGTTCTCTTTAATCGCGGTCGCGGCCTGTAACGAAGCTTCCAGCCGGCCATTATACCCGCGACCGTACCTTTTTATATCTATTTTCTCTTTTGCCTTGACTTTTCCACTTCTCTTCTTTTCTATCCTTTTCTTTTCCTTTTTTTTTCGTTGTTTTCCTTTTTTTTTTTTTTCCTCTTTTGGCTCTCCATTCGCGCAATTGCTGAGAATGCAACGCCGGTTAGATTACGCGAGAAACTTTATTTCGTCGTTTGCGTAATTCTCTGATGGTATATAATTAGATCGCGAGATTACCGCAAGCTGTCTTGATGGCAGATGAAATTTAATAATTTATGCGGAGGAATTTTATATTTTTCTTTCTGGTTCTTCTTTTTGACAGTGGTAAGCGTGTTCGATACACATACTGTGATCGATTTTCAGCATTTCCAGTGACGTTGAGAGCATACTGTTACATATTCTGAATGGTGAGCATTAAAATTTATTGTAAGTGGCTGTAGTAAACCGATCACTGTACATAGTGGCTCGCGAAAATATTCGAACTATATATTACGCGACCCGATCAATTTAATAATGTGCACAAAAATTACAAGATATTTATTTCAAACATACAATTTAATAAAAGATTAAAATATAGCATTAATAGTACGTTATAAGTAAGTATCAAAGATGATTTCAAAATAAGTCATTAAAAAATGAGTCTCACTACAGTGCTACGATAAAATTGCAAAATGTTTTATATGGCACACATAAGTTTCTCAAAGTACTCAAATAGTTTCGTGAGCAATTGTAGGGTTGGACCTGTATAGCTAATTTATCTGGGAGGTTGTGTATATTTCGAAGGGTCCGTAGTGAGAGAGTCGCACAGACGACCAAGTAAAGTGAAACATATCGTGCAAACGATACACCCTGTGTATTGTCCTAAGAAACGCTCGTTCCTCGCGACTTCTTATTTCCACCCTCTTAATGCAACTTCAAATGCACTCGTGGCACTCGAGAATGCTGTCGTGTCCCTTATTTGTACAAGCGCTTCAATGGAAATCGAATTCAAGTTCAAACACTCGCCACGTCTGAAAGGCTTGTCGCTCAACCCTAACGTATCAACGATTCTTTCACCCCCTTCACGCTGAGGCGCATTAAAATCCATGAAATTAGTAATACATTACGAAAATTGTTATACACCTTCACTGAAAAGTCTGTAGGACAACTATCATATTTATTTCAGAAAATGGAAAAGTGAAGTTAATTATTTACTTCATTTAATCGTAAGATATTAATTTATAATTAATTATGAGATTCAGTACGTCTCGTCTGTTCGTTAGGTCGGATTCCAAAAAAAAAACTTGTGATTCGTTTCAATTCATAATCAAACTGTTTAACATAAAGCAAGCGACAAACTACTGATCGTGCTGAATTCAACATACTTCGAGCTTTAAATCTACGTCGGATGAATATTGTTTTACAAATTACATATGAAATTCTATTGGAGAATTAAAAGTATATTAACTGCTGTAAAACATTTTGAATGAAATTATAATTATACAATGAGATAACTACAGGAAAATGCAATAATATAGTGTCAAACGTTCTCGTATTGAACACTTGTCTGCTACATTTCCTCGTTTTATTTTTAAAAATTTTCCTCCAGTCACCATTCCTCGACAGCTATCCAAATAAAGCAAACAACCCCTAACCAACCAACGTGATCACGTTCCAAATATCTTTTACTAGTAAAAAAAAAAGAAAAAAAAGACAAGGACAGATACTAATTAATTACAAAGTATTGGCGCGACCAAAATCGTCATAATTATCAATCAGCGGCTCGGCGATTTTAAACCGCGCGCAGCCGAGCCCATTTGCCCGATGCCAATAACACAGAATTCCCAGATGGTCATTCATTCAACCCCTCCTAATCGCAATCAACGCAAATTGCCGCGATCAAACGGGCCGGTTCGCCTTCTGTCCGTTGCACAGCCATTGACACGCGAAGAATAAAGAAGAGATAAAGAGGACGACCCCCGGGAGAGAGAGGTCGGTTTTCCGCGCGCATTTCCGGGTTAATGCAGCGTCGCAGCCTGGCTAAGAAAGGAAGAAAAATGCCAGCGTACCTTTTGTTCCCGGAGCTGCGCCTCGAGAACATCGGCAGTGTGCCCGACGGCCCGCATTTTCTCCAGCCGAGTTTCCATTCGCGCCAACCAGACCTCCACCTCGTTCCTTTTCGCCTCGTATCGCTGGCTGTCGCCAAGCATCGCGTCCAACTCCGTCTTCCTCTGCATCATTTTCGAGTTCATCTCGTCCCAGTGCTCCCTCAGCTTCGTAACTGCAACAACACAATCGGACGGACGTGCCGTTATTTAAATGATCCGTATGCCCCTATCTTTCGCGATTTCTACGTCTATCTCTATCTCTACTTTTCCACGCGTGTGTCTTTCTTCTTCTTCTTCTTCTTCTTCTTCCTCTTCCTCTTTATCGTTCCGTATGAAAATAACAAAACGGGACAACGACCGCCGAGGGGTCGAGATTGCTACGAGTTTTCGAAGAATATTCAGGAAATTAATTTTTCAGAAAGATTCTCTAAAAATATGAATTCTTTCCTTAGAGTTTCCCAATACTTGGAATACTTTTCTAAAAATTCTTCGAGAACTTAAGCGTCCGAAAAGAATTTTATCCCAAGAATCGTTTCGTTGAGAAAAATATTCCGTCGATATTCAGGTGATTAATTTTTAGATAAAAGTACAATTAGCGAGAGGAAATTGGCACCTGAATGTCAGCAGTAACGTGGCGGAAAGTTGTTAGAAAATAGAGGAGAGAATTAATGGTTCGTGAACGACGATCAGGCGGAAGATGGGGGCAGAAACAGGGGGCTGGTCTTTCGTACAGAATATACTCGTAGATAGTTGACACAGATAGTAAATGCTATCCGCGACAGGTGATGATTTATGCGTTTAGTATTACCGCTACTGGAGTGAAACATTCGCCCGGCAAGTAAGATACGATCGATTCAATTCGTTGTCAGTACAGCGGATTAACTTGTTCCGGCTTAACGTGCGCCCTCGAGATTATCGAAGAAAAAGCTGATAACAAACGGGATGAATTCAATCTGTATCTCGTTAGAAATTCATTTCATTTCGCAGTTCCTCTATCCGTTTACCGAACGTCCAATAATAGTGCCAAAGGTAAAGCGCGAGCGAATCTCGGTTATCATAACCAATCGGTATGCTTTCGAAACGGATCATTCGAAAAAGAGTGAGCCCCGACTCGGAATTAAACTTTTCATTCTCCGTTCATTGTCGTTCATAACAAGGGCTGCATGAGTAAATAAACCAATTCAGGCTCTCCAAGAGCTGCTTTAATTAACCAACCGATACCGGTGCAACGAGAATTTCGTTGCTCGGTCGATTCGTTGAACAGTAATTCGAGGTGAAGTCCAAAAGTTTTGGACGTGTATTAAAAGAATAACGCGTATTAGCGAATTAAAAACCCGCGTTAACAAGCTGATTAAACCACCATTCAAAACTTCTTCTTATAAAGAATGAAATTCTCATAATTATATTCTTTATTTATAAAATAGCTGCACTGAAGTGGTCTCAGTGTTGCAACTTTAATTTAACCAACTTTCTTCGCGGTGGCCTAGATTATGGATTTACGGTTTTACGTTTTAACTAAAGAAGAAAATTAAATGTTCTTCAACTTCTATATGACTTGTACTACTAAAGTAGGATTTTTGCAAAATGTTTAAAATTTGTTCGCCACTGGCAATTTTACAAAGAATTTTTGGAAAGTGAATCTTTTTATTCAAAAGCGTACAATTTCTATTTTTAAAATACTCGTGAATTTCATACTCAGAGTGATCAAACCTCTTGATACTTAGGAACCTCTTGCGCCACGCACGTTGAGAATTTCTTATCCCAAAATTGCAATATTTTCTCAGTTTTAATATTTATGTATATTTAAGTGTAATCCAGGCAAAGCAACTAATAAATTTATTACCTCTCAATAATTTCTATCCAGTGATATCATACCGACGAGTTCAAAAAGAAAGCGGCGAATTATTGCATACGGTTCGGTCACTCGTTATGGTCCGCAATCAGTTACCAGCGCAAGTGGTTCACCTGTGAAACTTAGTGTTTCAGGAATATACCAATTTATCAATGCTACAAACAGTTTGGAATAATATCAATTAAACGAAATGATTTTCTTAATATCGCGTTTCTAAGGAAACTGTCAAGTCAAAGATAACTCTTAAAAGAAGTTAACAGAGTATGCCATACATGATTATTATCTCCTTAACAAACAATACGGTAAGTACTACTTTTGTTACGTGCAATTTTCGTTCCAACATCAAGAGACTGTTGTTTTTGTGCACTGCATGCGAGTTACACGTCTATCTGTGTATTTAAGTATCCGCAGGGTCGCATGATCGAACGTTGCTGGTCCTCCAGAGAGGGAGAGAAAGAGTTAAACGTCCCTGGCGTTGGGACGTTAAACGCGGGCGGTACACGCTGGAATTGAAGAGCAGCCGATTCTGTAGAGGCTCGTTAATCGAACGCGAGGAAGTGGGCCGCGTTGGCACGTGCCCGTTGTTTCAAGAAGCACTTCTCAACCCGAGCCGAGTTCAATCCACGTTGAAATTCGCGCCAGATACGAGGAATCAGCTGGAAACTGTCCAAGCTGCAGCGAGAGGGCTTAAGCGAGGTAAAGAACGCGCGAGTTGGCTGGGAAAGCAGCTAGGCGCAAAAGCATTGGCAGCGTTTCAACGGATCCGTAACAACAGAATTACCACGCGTGGACAGCTTTGCAGAACTGGGGATTCTATAGTGTACCTTTGATGATGCAACGCATGTGCAGGATGTTTCGCGACAGGGTGCCGGCGAACAGGACCGAGGCTAAAACGAAAACAACGTATAATTGAGAGCAGAGCTCACCCTCTAGAAAATACTCTGAGATTAAAGTGATGAAATTAACATGCGTGCAAAAGATGAAACTGTGATACACACGGTGGCTCGTACATTTGCCAACGTGTATTGTACAAAATGATTTTGGAAATCAGCACTCTCGCTCATCGTGATTATATTGGTCAAACGTTTAATGATTCTTAAAATATATGCATATAGGTTACAAGTCTATACATATTTCGCAGCGGTCAGCCATGATTAATTATGCCAATAGATCTCAATATAACACCTGCTTGGTTCGTTATACGCTGTATATTGATTTTTTTTTACTAAATATGCATTCTCAGACTGATTTCAAATTTTACAACGTTGATGAAATATCAAAACGTTTTAGACTTTAGAGAATACACATAAACAACATACATAGAAGTTCTCCGTGGCATTCTTCCTGTAATACCATACGACATTCATTTTGCGATATCTTTTGTGATGTTACTGCAATTTATGAGGGGTTTTTATCGTTGCTTGACAAAAATTGTTTCCACGAATCTGTTGAAAAACACTGCTTCGTGGGAAAAAACGGTGGAAGATATATTAGATCCGATGTAATCTACGTGCACGATTAAATCGCGTAATAATATTCGTAAACAGCAAATCCAGTTACCTGTTACTATGCACGGGGAGAGACAAACGTGTAAGCACTCGAGGCGATTCGCAGTTTCATCCGCGCTGTTACAATTGCGCCTCGGTGTTTCCAGACAGTAGCACAATTTAGAATGATATAGAGATCCATATATTGTTGGAAATTAAAAAATACATATTGAAGTAGAAATAATTTCGCGGGAAATTTCAGCACTGCGTATGAAATATTTCGTGGGATATATTTTCATTTCAGTAAAAATCATTAACGCTACAGAAATTTTGATTCATCCGACGAAATAAACAATATTTTTGCTTCCATACTGGAAGCCATCATTCCCTTATTATTTTCTAATTATATCCCTCTTCGTTGTATTAATATATTCCTAATTACAATCCCTAATTAAGGAAAGTCCCAGTGTGCTTGTCTTCTGTGAATATATTATGTCTACTATACGAGATATTTTGAAATATCATTAGCTAAATATTATGATTATATTAATTAAGTTCAAAAACTAGTATAAATATATGTATGGAAATTACAAGACAGTACAAGTTGTATGTAAAGATCGCAAAAATAAATTTCAATATCCAATGAAATCATCTGTTTATCATGTTTTAAATTACTCTTGCTATTCTGTAGTAATCTTTGACAATATCTTTAAGATACTTTTGCGATAAATATCTTTTCATACGTATTCCCAAACTAAGTTCATACCTCACCATTTTCACGCATTTGAAATAAAATACAATGTATAAAACGTATGTACACGTTACAGTACCTTCTGTAATATTTAGCACGTAAAACAATTTCCTACCAAGATTACATTTCCTGAGCAAAATGAATTTGTAAAATTGTAAAATTCCGCAGTCGTAACAGTCATGGCGCCCGATTATACGAGTACTGCTAAAAGAATTTCGAAACTTCAGAAATAAACAAAATTTGTTTACGCGTTCAAATTCGCACACCATTCGAATGTAAGGTATGTAGATTACCAACCAAATTTTTATCCCGTATGTTTTCAACATTCCACACATGTTTTGGTGTAACATTCTCTTCGCCGAGAACCGGAGGATCGATCACCGTGCCTCCGTCGATACATCACCGCGGCTAATTTTCTCGCGCGGACAGCGAACAAAGAATTACGATCAGAGTGCATTCGCACGTAACCGGAAGCACATGGTACGCCCGCGGACTGATATAATCCGACAAGCCACGCACGGCGGACTAATGTTGCAAAGTTAAGAGGGAAGAGCAGTACAGAGAACGGGACGTCTACGTGAGCCTCGGGATCCCGGGACCGGAAGTGAAGTGGCTTGATCTATCACCCCGCCCCTCCCCCCCCAAGCAGTCTCCGAAGGGGTACCGAGCAAAAGACGAGGACGTTGTCTTCCAGCGGCTGTACTCGATGACTTATTACGAGAGCAATTCGCTCTCGTCGACCCTTGCGCGACTCAGACCCCGTGTGCCCTACCCTTTTGAACTCGCGTCACAAGCGTGACAAGTGTTCGACGGGACGTTAAAGATGGCACGTACACCCTTCAAGCACTGGGTGTACGAGGCGATCGACGTCGCGTGAACTTTCAGTCAACCTCTCGTCGCCGCGAATGCGACCTTTCAATTTCAACGCTGTTAATCGAAGTGATTTCTTTTCCTTCTCGCAGGTGTATTTACAATTTTTATAATCAGGCTGCGTGCTTTTAAAAGAATCCTACGTTTTAATTAAGTTGAAGAATTAATTACCAATTTTCAGTCGGCATTACAAAGGAAGAGATGGTCAGTAGA